TTACCGTATTTATTCAAGTATAATATGTAAAATTAAATCAATAAAATCCTCCATAAAGTTGGGGGGTAGTATTATACTCGGATAAATGTTTTTACTTGTGTATTTTAACTGAAATATCAGCATCATTCACAAAATGCCTGAGTCTGGAAATGAGACCGCGTCGTAAAAAGCAGCCGAAGCGAGCTTACCTGTGTCACTCCTCCATGCTTCAGAGCGAGTTAATAACAGATCCAGGCAGGAGACATGATGTGAAAAAAAGGGGGGAGCAGTCCTGCAGCTTAGTAATGATAATGAACTAATGACATTAGCGTGTGACCGAGCTGCTCCTCAAACAACAACAAACACATGTTCGTCTGTAATGGCTGCCGTCTACCGGTGTTCTGAAAAAGTTTGTATCCCTGAAAAATGTTTCCCCACCAGAGGGGGCGCTCGTGAGTAGGAAGTAATCTGCTTTTCTCCCACAAGATGGYCCAAATCTCATGTGAAGTCTCTGACTTTTGTGTTGGCGCCTCCTGGTGGACTATGTGTAAAATGCCAGAATTCATATGATGCTGCTACAAAGCTCAAAATCATAGTTTGCTGATATATGTTTTTGAAATACCTTTTAGTACATATGTTCAGACTTGTAAAGTAACTAAGTACAAATACTTTGTTACTGTACTTAAGTAGAAATTTTGGTTATCTGTACTTTACTTGAGTAATTATTTTTCAGCGTGCGTTTTATTTTTACTCATTACATTTTTACACAATTATCTGTACTTTCTACTCACTACATTTTTTAAAAAGGTAAGAAGTAGAAAGTTGTTACTCCTAATTTATTCTGAGTTGTTATTTCTTAAAAAATACTATCCTGATAAATAGTGTCTCCTGGATAGAGTGAATTTAATTGTGTTTGGATGAGAAGTATAAATATATACCATTCCGACACACTATTAGCTTGTACACAACACATCTTTAAAAATATAGTTTTTGGAGAAGTCACCTCCCAATAAATGCCATTTTGTAAAATCTAATTCCTCACTTTTACTCAGTACTTTTACTTTTAAGACTTAAGTAAATTTTGTGTCAGAAATTTACTTTTGATATTTAAGGACAAACTATATCAGATACTTTAGGACTTTTACTTAAGTAATATTTTTAGAGAAGACTTTAACTTTTACGAAAGTTTTTTTTATGAAAAGATACTTGTACTTTTACTCAAGTATCATTTTGAGGTACTTTATACAACACTAGATTCAAACTGAAAAACCCATTTGGAAGATTTTTTGGCCTGTCCCACAGGGAGGAGACCCCGGGGCAGATACAGTACTTGCTGGAGGGAACACAGAATGTCTTGGCATCCCCCAGAAACAGATGGACATTGATGAGGAGAAGAATATATGGGTTTCCCTTCTGCAACTACTGACTCTGTGACCCATAGATAAGATGTATGGATGGATGGATGGATGGATGGATGGATGGATGGATGGATGGATGGATGGAT